ATTCATTTAAAATAATTTAGAATATTTTTTAAATAAAATAAGTAATTTAATTAAAAAAATAAATTAACATTATATTAATTCATAAAAAATATATTATTTTATATAAAATTTAGTTTATTTAAACAACTAAAAAACGAAAAAAAGATAAAGTGGTGGCCTTGCAAAAGCAATTGCAATAATTGCAAGTGAATTCCTATGCGGCATAGGAATTTTTTTGAAATTCAATTTGAATGCCTGATGGATAATCATTCCGGTCCGAGGTGACAACCAGGGGTGATCATGGGTTGGGTTGATTAAGTTAAAGACATTTGAACAATCCAATTCATTGTTTGTGGTTTGAAAATTTTTAACCCAATCCAACCCAACCCAACCCAAATTGTACGGGTTAGTCGGGTTGATATTTTGGTATATTAAAATATTTCTTCTAATCTTAAATATATTATTTCTCTACTCATAATTTCTTTTTCATCATCAATCATTTAATATAACTTATCCATACTCCTTACGTATATCCTATTCAGTTAATTTTCTCAATTTACGTATATATGTTTACAATTACTGAACATATATACGAATAAGTTATATAGAGATGTGAATAGATTGAAAAGATGTGTATATAAATAGCGTACGTGATAATGTAATTGTCTAGTCTATATATTAATAGAAATTCAACAATCATATTAAATTCAAGAAATTAAATGGATATCGGGTTAATCGTGTTGAATTGAGTTCAAATAATAGTAACCCAATATCTACGGTTTGAAAAATTTACAACTCGATTAGACATCGGGTTGAGTTATTTTATGTTGGGTTGGATTGATCGGGTTTTTAAACACCCCTAATGACGCCTATTCTTAAGAACAAAAAAGACTGAGCTGAAGGAAAGCCCTGTGACTCACTGAAATGATGGCAGGAGGGTCCAACAAAAAGTTAATTCTAATCGATTTTGAAGATTTTAGTGAATAAAGTCAAATTAATTTTGATGTCATTCAAACTCCCGTTGCCTCTTGTTATCCTATCGTTGTACGTTTTTATCACCGTTCATCATCGATGTTAGTCCTTATCACCGATCTCTTTCTTTTTATCTTTTTTCTTTTTCGATTCTCCATTTTTATCTATCTATATGTGCCCATGAAATTGTCGTAGAATAAGAAGAATCGAAAGATAAAAAAAAAAAGATCGATGGCAAGGGCCAACAACAATAATGAACAATATGGAGAATGGACACGAACACGAGCGGATTTATGTTTTGATTTGCGGAGTCAAACGAACCCCGTAAAGTTAAAAAAAGTTGTTTTTTATATCGTAAAATTTAATTTTTGATACTGTATATGTGTTTTGACCCCAATAAGAATAAGGTTTGGAATCTAATTTTTTTTGCCCAAGTTCGTTGTTAGTTTTTTATATAGTTTGTTTTTTTTTTTAACATTAATTGTTAATTATGAATTGTTAGGGTTAGAGTTTGTAGCAAAAGATCGTGTGTGAATGATAGTTAAAGTGAGAAGCGTAAAAAATCTGAATCTTTGATCACCTTTAATCTTAAATTTACACATGAATCACGCTTGATACAGGGATTGATCAGATGCATCTCATCCTAATGGGTGCATCCAAGAGTGGAGATTTCTTCTTATGATTTTTTACTTTAACTCTCATTCTCATCAAAACCTAACCATAGGGTTTGCTAGTTGAACTCAATCTGTTAACTTTTTGTTGTTAATTGTTAAGGTTAGGGTTTATTTGTTGATGTCAAATTGTTAATTTGAATGAGATCCATTTGAAATAATTCTTTTTATTGAGTATTATATAATAATGTTGTTTATATTATATGATATTAAAAAGGTATTCGTATAATGCAGCGAAATACATCTCGATTTTAATGTTTTTTTTTTGTGTCAGTTGATGTTATAATATAATTTTATATGATTTTGAGAAAGCGATAATGTTTTTATTTTTGAATAAAATATAAATATAAAAAATTAAAAAAAATTAATATTAATATTAAACTAACTATTTAAAATTTCTTTTTTACGTATTTTTTTATTTTATTTATTTATTTTTAGTTTAATAATATAATTTTTTATAAAAATAATAATTAAATATTTTGTTATCTTAATTATATTTTAGATTTCTATATTTAAAATGAATGATTATCTTGTATTTGATTATGTTTATTTATATTTAGTTATAATAATTTAAAAATAAAATTTTAATAAATTATATATACGTAAAATTATATGTAATTTAAAATTTTAAGTAATATATATCAATAAACAATACTTTTATACATAAAAAATGATTTTTAAGAAATTTGTTAAATAATTTATACAGAAAACACACACAACCAGATATCGTCATCATCTTCTCCGGCCCTCACTTGACTACCGCATCATCGTTCGATTTCATCCGTGTGACGGTAGCAGCATGACATCGTGACAAATAGCACAACCATCCTCCTCCTTCACCAAATTGGCACCCCCCTTTCTCAAACGTCAAACCCTTGTACTACAAAAAAAAAAACCAGGTGTAGTTCCTTAACCATCATCATCATCATCATCATCATCATCAATCTAGTTGTTTTTTCTTGAAAGGCTATCACATTTTATTCATTGGGAGAGAAAGAAAAACATTACAGAGATGAAATGCTAATCGAAAGCAACCGAACAGAAAAGGTTGGTCATAGGAAAATGGAGAACGACTCATTACCTAATTCTGAAAACCCAGACTGCAATATGTTCCATTAAAACTCCATCGAGATTTAATAATAAAAAAGAATTAATCTTGCCCCCATTCTCCATCTTCCCGTCATCACCGTACAAAAAATTACAGACATGAAATAGAGAGAGGGTCTTGGTCACTGTTGGTTGTTGAGATGGTGGAGAATAAAGCAAAGAGAGAACCAGCGAGTAAACGAGGTGTCTTGGTTATTGGGAGGGATGAAACTAATGAGATAAAAGGAGTGTGATTATTTTGGTTTAGAGACAGAATCCAAATTTGGAACAAACCACAGGGACCAGGAGTCTAATTTACCCAAATATATAATCATTCTTTTGTAAATCGGGTTGCCGGGTTTGGATTATGTGGAAACCGAATTATGTTTCGCCTGAGCCCTGAAAGTGAAAACCTTTGATTTGATACAGCTTCCCTCTTCACCGTCCATCTTTTCCTAACCTGCTTCTCCTTCATTTTCTTTGATTTCATCATTCAACACACTCAGGAAAGAAACAGGTACATGGATTTCGAACATATATATATATATATATATATATATATATAGATATATATTGTTTGTATTGATTTTCTTTTTGCTCGTCTTTCTTTTCATTTTACTATTGTTTGTTTTGCACATGCTTCTTGATTACTATCTATGTTATAAACTTTGATAAGCAACAATTAGAAACAACATGGATGTATGCCAAACCATTTCTATTACTTGCTCCCCTTCCACTGTTTTATTTCTCTTTATCTTGGGAAACCACTGATTTCTATTTGTCGTTATAATTGATCAATTTGTCGTTTTTTGAAATGGGTCGCATTTATGTATTCTATATTTCCATACATTAAATTGAAAAGTATCATCTGTGTGTATACTTGATTGATTTGGAGGTGGGTTTTTAAAGAATAATGTCATTTATGACAATTTGAACATGCAGATCAGGTGTTCGATAGAATGCCTCAATTATATATTGTTTAGACATTCATTGAAGTCCCCATGCATTGAGGAGAAAACCCCTTGCATAAACAATACATTATCTGATACTATGCCTCAAGTCATGAAGAGTAGAACTACTCTTGCTTTCATGTTTGCTGCAAACTCCATTACTTCTTCTACATCCTTGTCTGAGCCCTTGACCAAACCAACAACATGAACAGTAGAATCTTCTGGTTGCGCAGAAATTGGTCCACTACATTGTGGTCTTCCGTGTTTGCTGATGGTCATTTGCAGAAACCACTTTAGAGGCAATAACTTCCACTCGTTCATCATCACTTGGTTTTTCTTCTGTGAGGGCTTTAATCTGAGTCATCTTTCTTTCTTCCTGATCTTCTGTTGTAGTAGTCTTTGTTGTGTTGGTATTTTCATCAGCAGTGGCCATGGGAACTGAGAGTGCTTGGAAAAGTATCCACACTCATTGGTCGATATATAAGTTCCTAGTTGTGTATTTACAGTTTCTGCCACATGGCTGCTAGTTTCAAGGTGTTGATTAGGCCCAGATTCAAGTTGGTTCACGTTGTTCCAGAGTTCACTTCACAATGCATCATCTTCTCTTTCACCTTTCTGCAGGAAATTTGAGCATGCTTACAGCTCATACATAGGAACTGTTATGTTGTCAGAATAAACTATAAAACATACATATCGTTATAACAACTTAACAAGGAAACAAATATATAGGCACTTCTGCATATATACCGGTCATTGAACTCATAACTTGTATGGAGAATATTATTGTCTTGGGAAGCTTCCATTCTGAACTTAGAGAAGCAGTACTGTCCTGCTGCAATGAATTAGTTGCTTTGGGTAAATATTTTTAATTTTTATGCTACTAGATGTGGTATTATGGCATTCGAATGTCACTTGGCCTACCTGCTGCTTTGGTAGGAATACTTGAGAAATCCACTTGCCCTTTGTCTTTCTTCCATCCCTATGTTGGTAAATAGTACTTCCTCAAGTGTATAAGAAAAAAACAAACATTTTATTTATTTATTTTGTGTTGCTTAAAAGTACATTTTCTTTTCTTGGGTCAGTTCTTTATTTAGATTGCAATTTCTATCAATTTAGAATACTTATAAACAACCATATTTCATTCGGCACTAAATCATACACAAGGTTGAATGGTAATTTGTTTGTCAATTCAAACACTTATTAAACGGTCTTTTTCATTCAGGACCTGATCTGGAAAGAGCCTCTGAATCATACAGGCACTGTTATTCAATCATTCAGAATCAATCAAACATACCCTTTCCTTTCTTTTCTTGCTTTATATTCTATACAAACACTACAGCAGGTCAGCACTCAACAGCCTTCAGCCAGCAACCGGCCAATCCTTGCTTTTGTTGTTGATTGGTCTCCGACAGTGAGCTCCGGCTAGCCCCTGCTTGTGGCCCCAACCCTGCACCTGTCTCCCATCCCCCTCATTGTTGCTACTTTCAAATAGAAGTTCAAGGTAATCACTAATCTGTCCAAATTTTTATACCTATTTTTTCCAAGATACATAAAGTTTTCTGCTGATTTTACATTTCTATGAGTTTAGCGTTTAAGTTGTTTTTTAGTTTTGTTACTGTGTATGCATGATTTGTTGCTAACTATGTTACTGTGTACTCATAATTCATTTTGTTGCTTATTCGGTTTTATTGAAACCCGACCTAATTAAGCCGAATTGCTTTTTGGGTAATTCGGTTCGGATGACGGGTGCTTTGGGGAAATGGGCAGACCCAATTAACTCGAATTTGTAAACCCGCAAAACAGATTATCCCCTGTCCGATTAACATCCCTAATGCTTTTTTTCTCCCTCTTGGATTGCCAAGTTAAAATAACATACAAGTAGGGGAGAGAAACAAAGAACTTTTGCAGTTTAGAAAAGGGTAGGCGCCACCCTGTGGAGTGCCCCCACAGCATCTGTCCCATGGTCATCATGGTAAAGAAACATAGAACTTTTGGGGATTATAAGTCTTAACATCTTGCTTCCCCTAGCCTGTGAACTTTTGGGGATTATACGGCTTAACATTCATCTCTAGCTAATTCTTGTTTACGAAAACCAATTTCCCTCTCTATTATATCTGAATTTGCTCACAATTTTGGTTTAAGTTTGTAAGTTTTAGAGAGGCAGGAGAGAGACAAAGGAGAAGAGAAACTTTTAGGCCATCTTACGTTTCAAAGCATAACAAATTGAAGATTTATTTGTTAAAATGGTTTTATGATATTTGATTCTTTGACCTCTCTTTAATCCCTATACCGATATATAGCTGCTGTGTGCAGGGGATGGAGCTGCAGCTGTCGCTTGTACCATATGAAAAACCCATACCAATCAACCCTAAAGCTATCTAGGACCACTCTTAGAGATAAGAAGTAAAAACATTGGACTAAGACCTATATACTAAAGTAAATATGTTGGTATATTAATAGATGTAATGAGATCTCTTTGGGAGTTCTGTTATAGTTTTATACTTTAGTTACAGATTTTTGATCCGCTTTTGGTTGTGACATGTCCCGTCTTAGGACTAGTAGGACAGGGGTGTTACGAATTATGGTTCTTTCTTGATGATGTTCAGGTTTTTCCATTTAATCCGAAAGTCAAGGCAAGAATGACTTTGGAGGTTATATTTCAAAGATTATTAATCAAGTCATATAACATCACCTTATTACTCCTGTATGAGAAAAGGAGTTTTTGATTTTTGATTCAGGATGTTACATTGACCTGGTTTTTGTTGCAAATTTAACACCAATTTTTGCCATGATCACCATGTTAGCACTTTTTTCTGAAACATCATAGGATGCACTTCAATGTTTAAAATAAAAAAAATGCCTGCTTGATTTCCAGAGTCAAAGTGTACACTTTTTGGGGATAACTATATTGATTCATTTAGTTTTATTTGCCACCCATGTTTAGAGGTTACGGCCTGGGTGGTGGTTTTTTACTACCTATATATAAAATATGTTTCTCCATGTGAAGCTTGCATTTTGTAAATACCTGCATCTGATGGCTTCATCATAAACTGAACTGTAATTATTTATGACTGCATTTTACGTCTCCAGATTAAGGTACATGAGTATCAGATGGCCACGGATATTGACGCCAACATACTTGTCTCAGATCATTCGGAACCAAAAGAACTCATTGAAAGCCCTTCATATATTTAATGAAGCAAGAAACAAATATCCAAATTACCGTCACAATGGTCTTGTATATGCCACCATGATCAACAAACTTGGCATGTCAGATCGAATTGTTGATATGAAAGAAGTGATTAATCAGATGAAAGATGATTCATGTGAGTGCCAAGATTCAGTCTTTTCAGGTGCAATTAAGACCTATGCAAAAGCTGGAATGCTGAACGAAGCCATCTCTCTCTTTAGAAATCTTCATCAATTCAACTGTGTAAATTGGACAGAATCTTTTAATACCATACTGCAGATAATGGTGAAGGAATCCAACATTGAATCTGCTCATCGTCTTTTTCTGGAGAACTTTAGCAGGTGGGAAGTGAAATCTCGAACCCATTCTTTAAGCTGGCTGATTGATGTTCTCTGTCAAAAGAAACGTTCTGATCTTGCACTACAAATCTTTCAAGAAAACAATAATTGCTACTGTTATCCAACCCGGGACACCTATCGAGTTCTAATGAAAGGTTTGTGCGAAGATGGAAGAATTAACGAAGCAATTCATTTGTTATACTCAATGTTTTGGCGAATCTCCAGAAAGGGAAGCGGTGAAGATGTCTTAATATATAGAATCCTCTTAGATACATTATGTGCATATGGGCATGTTGAAGAAGCAGCCGATATTCTCAATAAGGTCTTGAGGAAAGGTCTGAAAGCTCCCAAGAGGAAACGTATGCAACTAGATTTTACCAGGTGTCGAAATGGTAGAGATATAGAAAGTGCCAAGAGTTTAATTACTGAATCCCTAATTAAAGGTGTGATTCCCAGTTATGATAGTTATAATTCAATGGCTGTAGAACTTTACGCAGAGGGTAATCTGAGTGGTGCAGATAAAGTCGTTCAAGAAATGCACGATCAAGGATTCAGACCAACGGCGCTGATTTATGAAGCTAAGGTGATAGCTTTATGTAGGAAAGGTCTGATTGATGAGGCAGAAAAGGTTATTTCAAAAGAAATGGTGGAGGCAAACTGTGTTCCAACTGTTGGTTTATATAACAGTGTGATTAAAGGTCTTTGTAGTGCTAATAGATCCACAGAGGCTCTTGGATATCTAAAGAAGATGAGTAGGCAGTTGGGCTGTGTTCCTAATAAGGAGACTTATTCCATATTGGTGGATGGGCTTTGTGAAGATGGGACTTATATTGAAGCAAGTGAAGTTATGGAGAAAATGTTAGTCAAGTCATATTGGCCAAATACTGATACTTTTGGTAGAGTTATTAGAGGTCTTTGCTTGATGGGCAGACCATATGAAGCAGTTATATGGCTGGAAGAGATGGTTAGCCAAGAAAAGATGCCCGAGTTTTCTGCATGGACTTCCCTTGTCGATTCCGTTGTTTATGATGCAATTGATGTTGAGGTTTTATCTGAAATCATCGAGTCCTAAGAGATTTGCTCATCCCACATACACCTGATGACAAAACGTTGTCTGGAGTTTATCGTATCTCTTGGAAATCGTGGATGTTCTTGTGTTTCGTGCTGTCTAAAGTTAAGTTTGCAAGCCTCTTACCAATTTCCATTATTCAAGCTTTTATAAAGTTCCTGTGTCTTGCTCGATGTTATGAATTGTTCTTTAGTACTATTGTTAACTTGCTAAAAGTGTTAAAGTGTGATGGTCTGGGGGTTCAAGCCACTTGACACACCCCGCTTGGATAACATGGATGTAATCTTTTTAATATGCTCGAAAATGGATACTTATTCCTACCCCATGCAACTTAAGAGGAGAGACAGGACGTGTGCCCGTCGTATAAGCGTGGCACTTGAGAAATGTGGAGGAGTGCTTGTCAAAAACCTCTGCCCGGGTGACTCTTAGTTGATGGTTGGATGTGAAGACATCATTTTCTAAGCTGCTTGATCTACTGCTGCAACATCACCTTGAGTTGATGTATGTTGCAACAACTGTCCACCAGATCGAGATCGAGATTTAAAATTATATACCACTCGAGGCTTTCTTCACTTCAATCGGCAAAGGGGAAAGTGATATCATGTAGAATTGGGATGCCGACTCCGTCTTAGCTTTGGATTTGATCTTTAAACATTTTGCGAGACACATTCCAATTGCAATCTTCGGATTTCATCTTTTGGCACTGATCTCGTGGTAATGTGACACGTTTCCCGATACGATGGCTTCATGGCACACATTTCAATTGCAATCTTCGACTTTCGTCTTTTGACATTGATCTGGTGGCAATGTGGCACATTTCCCGAGACAATGACTTCATGGATCATTTGACCAAACATGTTTTTACTTGATTCCTATAATAAATATGCACATTAAGTAGAATTATTAATAGATTAAACATTTCGACTCTTTGTAACCATCAAAACAAATATATAGATATGTGGCACTAGTGTACCTAACAATATTGATTATCAAATCATTTTATTATCATATATTTTTGACAATGACATACTTATCCTACAATACATTATGTCTTTTATCCAATTTTAATTTAAAAAATTCTTATTGATTATCAAATTCTTTTTTAGAAAGTTTAAGGAAAAATTAAAAAAAAAAACCCGAAAGAACGATTACATTTTCAATGATTAAGTACCTGAACTATTTTTTTAAGGGGGAGGCTAATGGCACCCCTACCCCTTACTAATGTCACCCCTATCGCCTATATAATAATTCCTTTTTTGTTTTCCTTTTGTGTTTTTGTCTTTTTGTTGTCTTTTTCTTTGTTATATTAATATTCTTTTACTTATTTTATTTAATTATAAATACATTACTATTATAAAAATTATTTATTATTTTGGAAAAAAAATATTACTAAAAAATATTATTTTTTTATCATAAATTCTATAAAAAAAATATATATGTTTTATTTTCTTTTTTAATGTTTTTCTTAAAATAAGTTAACTACATATAAATTCAGTATAATAATAATATTATTAGATCTTTACGTATTATAAAAAGATTTATTTAACTACTATCTAGATAGATTAAAAATCGGGAAAACCGTGACTTCGTTTTTCTACTTATTTGATCTGTAAGGCAAGCAAATCATGATATGTAGTATTTTTCGGTTGAAATGATCCAAATAACCAATTTTTAACAGTTCGATGATTTATTTATTAAAAAATGTATGTAAGGATGATTTTTTTTGTAAATAACTATGACTCAGTGAGTTATACGATATTAACTCTTTTATTTTATTTTCTTCACAATCTTTTACTTAAATCATTTTAAAAATATTAAAATAATCCAAGAAATTTGAAATATTAATTTCTATAAAAGTGATTACATTTTTCAAGTCATTTTATAAAAATAACTTCTAAATTATACAATTTTAAAAAGGTTAAAATAATTTAAGTAACCAACTCATTCATTTAATTATTCAAAAAAAAAAAAATGCAACGACTTAATCAATTAATATAAAAAGAGTTCAACAACTTATTCAATAAAAAAAGTTCAAGATAATTCAAAATGGAACAATTTCTTTAATTTTCTGAAATTTTTTCCTTATTTAAATTTAACTAAACATAAAAATTAGTTTTTTGGATTAAACTATTTTAAGTTTTGTAATGTCCCAGCCCACACATTGCATGTAATACATATTTCATACCAAAGAAATACATATTCATATACATTCGGGTCCACTAGTACAAGAAATCTATTATGACCAAACACAAGGTCCAAAAATTCAAAATACAATCTTGTACTAATCATCAGAGCTACGCATCGAATGCAAATCTTCACCCAAAATACATGTAAGAAAAAGCGCTAAATCTTTTCATTTCCTTTACCTTCCACACCTCCTGCAATACACATTTTAAAATCACAAAACGAGGGTTAGACTATAAAGTCTAGTGAGATACCCTATTCATGTTATTGCAGGGTGAAGGATCACCAAAACTTTTGCAAAATCAAGTATTCATATAAATAACAAATATATGAATCCATAATATCAAATACCAAATCATTTCTCAAATTCAAGCTATCACTTAGCTTATTCAAATCTCATACCTTTTGAACCAATCAGGTTCTATATAATGCCACTTTTTAAACCTTTTTCTCAATAACGAGGTTTAACAAAGTTTCAGGCAAAACAAATCTTTTCTCCACAATAACATCCAATCTATGATTTCCAAATAAGAACCTTGATCCTAAATCCTTAAATCACAAAGAAATAAAGATTCCAGATCTAGGTAGTCTCAAAGGATATAATAGAAAGAGTTATATAAAACCACACACACAGACAATGCCACCCTTATATCCAATGGACACCTCTCATTGATATGCCACCCTTATAACAAATGGACACCTCTCCTTGATATGCCACCCTTATAACAAATGGACACCTCTCCTTGATATGCCACATTTATAACAAATGGACATCTCTCCTTGATATGCCACCCTTATAACAAATGGACACCTCTSCTTGATATGCCACCCTTATTTCTTCAAAACATTTATAAAATAATTCCAAATAGACCGCAGTCATTGGAAACATTTTCAGATCAAAAACATTTATATCAAAACTTTATTTTATGATAAAATAACAATTTTCATCAAGCCACAAAATATCATTTCAAATTTGATCAACAAGTCCGATCAATCAAATCCGGTCAACACTCATCCGGATAACAAGTCCGGTCAACACTCATCCGGATAACAAGTCCGGTCAACCAAATCCGGTCAACACTCATCCGGATAACAAGTCCGGTCAACAATCCGATTAAGCCTCATCCGTATTACACTTGGAATAAAATCCGTTTTGTTGTCCGAATATCTAATCCGGTCAACATACCATACTTAAAATAATTTCACACTTTAATCGAATATCTAATCCGGTCAATCATACCACACACTTACTAATCGGTTAAACACTTAGAACAATTTCAAGTTTGTCCGGATAACAAATCCGGACACTAGTCCATTCAACTCTCATCCGGTTTAAAGATAAACCGTTCAACCCTCAACCGGTTTAACCAACTCCGGACAACAAACCGCTCACGGCTTGTCCGGTTTATAC